TGGGGACAACCCCAATACTTGAAATGGCGCGCGCTTACGGTCTCCGTCCCCGATTATGGCTCCTGACTTTACACATTTCAATTTTGATCGATTAATGTTCGGTTTTCGCTTTCCTAATTTATGCCTTGTAGCGAAGTTTCAGTTCATTTCAATTTTGAATTTTTTAATGCCAATTGAATTTCAACCCAATTACAGAGGAGATTATGTCTGATTTTTTTATTTATACGGTTATCAGTCTCAAAGAGGAAAACTCATAAAGTAACTTGGGATTTGAAAGTTTCGAAGGCGTTCTCTCCATCATTTTCTTGTATAGATGATAATATCATTTAAAAGGGTCGTAAGTTATTTTCGTTAGAGTCGTCATTTATTTTGCTGTGTTAAGACTCGCTTGTTGTTCTTCCTGTTCTTAGACCTTCTTAAGTTCTTCGGTTATTCTTACTTATTGTTTGAAGACACGCCAGGTCATTACATTAGGAGATGGGCCTCAACTGATTGACGTATTGTTTTGGTTAATTTGATCATTTGCTAGTTTGTTCATTTTATGTTTTTTTTTTTTCATTTTGACGGAGTCTCGTTTCTTTAGATCGAAGCTAATAGCGGAATTTGCCATTACCTTCCTCTGACGCATTTTGTATTTTTATTTATTGAAAGCCTCTTGTGTAAAATGTAGTTTCAACTCTGCTAGAAATGTGGACTTCACTTGATATATATGGAATCGAACTTTCCGTAAGTGGTGACCTTCAGTCGAGCCACTAAAAAGTTGAGCTGTAACGAGAGCTGTCAGCTTACACAAGGTTAAAGATTCAGTGCTTGTATGTATCTGAGAAAATCACGATGCGTCTACTTACGGGTTATGGTATGCAATGAGATTCGACTGTGTTGAGTTGTTGTTATCTTAGCTTATTGTACTTTGGTGATGCACTATGTACTCACGTGGACTACTAAACGTAATCAGGTGTTTTTTTGCGGCTGGAGAGGCTTTCCGGAAGGGTTCGAGGGGAGTTTAACAGAACGGTTTTCTATTTCCTTGTTTCTCGGCTGTTGTATAGTTACTCAGTTCAAGAATAACTAAATTCATTCTGTAAGTGTCGGGTGGTTTTTGTTTCTTTGTGCACGTGGAAGTTCTTTAAATTTTGTAACAGTAAGGAAGCGTGCCATGAGCGCTCGCCTCTTTAATCTGCTTTTTTCCCTTTCGTTTTTATGGTAACGCATTTTAATCATTCTGTAAAATTTTTCCGCAGGAGGGTGATTTTATTTAACCCATGAAGCAACATGTACTGTAGCAGTAAGTCAAAAAAGTCATAACTAATAAAAGAAAACCATGAAATTGGTATTCAATAGCATCTAATTGTGCAACAACTATTCCACGGGTTAGGTAAAATCACTCTGAGATTGACACCTTATTGATCGTGAATACACTTAGTATTATTACGGCTGAGAGAATAACAGACACGCTGTGACAGAACAGTCTTTGAACAACAGTTTTCTGTGAAGTGGTAGAGATACATTTTTCTACACCATGTCCCCTCTGCCCAGTCCTCCGTGGTGCCCACGTATACTTCACAAGAAACCAAAATTAAGTTTATCAAATTTTCCAGTTTAAACTTTACACATTTCAATTCTGATCGATTAACGTTCTTAATTTCGCTTTTCCAATTTACGCTTTGTAGCAAATTTTCAGTTCATTTCTGTTTTGAATTGTTTTCATGCCAATTTAATTTCAACCCAGTTTTGGAGGAAATTATGTCAAATGTTAGCTTA